CATTTGTTAAGAATATTTATGGAAAATTAGTTTCCATTCAATCACATTCTACAAAATGAACTAAAACAAAGATGTGGTTAGTTATTAGAAGTGAGGAGAGCAAAGGGATGGGGCTCCTCATAGAGAAGTAGATTTTTTTTTTTTTTTTTATAATCATAGAGAAGTAGAATAAACACTCATTACAATGAATCTTATATGGCATGATGACTCACTTATGTTGGGGATTCACAAAGTCAAGCACTGGCTTCAAATGATTTCCTGAAGACATAAAAAGATGACAGATTAAAATAATATGCATGGGCAAAAAGATGAGTAAGAAAATGTTGTCTAAGTAAATCATAAGCACCAGACAAAAGATAAAAAAGATTAACAGATTTCTGGAACCTCTAGCCACTCTATACTGAATGTTTATGTCAAAACCTTTACCAAGAATAGCTAAACTTCATACGAGATTGAGTTACAAACTCAAATAGAAGCTTATAATATAACTGACATGAAAGTACCTGTTCCAGTCTCAAGTTAAGATTTACAGATTCAGCACGAGAAAAAGTTAGACAGCATTAAAAAACAAATTTGAGATTCTCAGAACATAAGAAAGAAAATTATAATGAAATTTCCCCAAGTCCTAGTACAGTCATAGATCTTTTCAAGTAATCACGTATCGACATAAAAAACAAAACTAGTGACATTAACCAGAAGATTGAACATTATTTTGTTAAAGTTACAAGTTCCTGGATTTGAAACCTTGCACACAAACAGGAACCCTCGATTCTGCAAATCCCTTCCACAGCCATCCTTTGATTCGACCATCATCACCACAGCTGCCAAAAAAGTTTAGAACGTCAAGCACAATCATCAGGGTATCTGCATTAGAATGACTAGGCATGAACGTAGGCATCCAAATGCATTTTCGAACAGCCTATCAAATCAGATCAATTATTATAAACAAAAGCTTAAATAGCTGCCACATGTAGAAAAACTAAGCTTCGATCAACAGCTTAGGCGAAGCTTGGTATGAGTAAAACAAGTTGTTCTATGAAAGCCCAAAATCTACATGCAATAATTTATCTCTGTTCTCCATTACACAGAGAAAGCAATTTCCTAACTTTTCTTATAAATAATTAACCATGATGGACAGAAATGGATCAAGAAACAAGCATTGCAAGCATGCAATCATAAGCCGAAACAAGATAAAAGATAAATATTAGTATATCATATTGAACTGAACCTCAATAACAGACAGTCTTCACCATTGCCGTAAAATTTGAGATCATATACCGGCCCATCATGCCCTTGGAGGAAGCCCTCCGGCTCCGCTGTTAACAAGCTAGCAAGTTCCACCACCACAACAAACCATAATCAGCTTCAGTAACCCGAAATGAGCTGGTAACAATCAAGCCTAGGCATACTTACTGTTGCGCCCTGGAATTGCTAAAACCCATTGGCTGCAAGCAAATGTGGAAAAAAAAATGATGTTACCCTGTACGATCCAAGCGAGAAACTGCGGTAGAATTGTCGGTAAGAGGACTCACGAGTTCGGCAATGCAAGAGGGGATGGAGTAAGCGGAGATAGAACCATCACTGGTGGCGACGACGACGGTGTCCGGGTTAGGGTTTCGAGAGGGAGCCCAAATAGTCCTGAATACGGTTCGAGTTTCGAGCTCCCTCTCCTTCAAAATGCTTTCTCTGTACGCTTCTTCATCCCAGTTTGTCGCGTCCCCGCACATTCTGCCCGGATTTCTTCAGCTGACGGCTTTGCTTGAGCTCGGCAGTCGGCACGGTGGAACTTTCAGTTCACTGTGGCGCCGTTAACTTCCCGATCTCAACTGCTCGGAGAGAGGCGGAGGGAGTGGGCCGGACTCATGAAAGAAGAGACTGGTCACAGGCCCAAAGAATCTGACTTTTAAGGACTCCCTCCCAAGATAAAAGCATTTTCGTTTTGGCGAAATGTGCAAATCGAACCTAATATTTTTTGAATGGAAGCAAATTACTACTTAAAAAGAAAATATTAAAGTAATTTATTATTTTAAATTTTTATTTTTAAAAATTTAATTTAAATTTAATTATTGTTGTTAAATTTTTATTTTTAAAATTTAATAAAAAGCTAATAACAATTATTAAATTTTAGTTAATTTTTTAAAAATAAAAATTTGAAATGATAAATTATTTCAATATTTTTTACCATGATTTGTTTTAAGAAAAAACTGTTTTATAGGATAGACTGCATAAAATTACTTAAATACTTTTAAATTTGTTTTTATATTATTTTTTAGAAGCATTTAATTAGTTTTATAGGGTGGACAATCCGCCCTGTAAAACAGTTTTCTGTTGTTTTAATGTGATAATTTTAAGAGTAATTTACACCTTTTATCTTCACTTTTGAAGCAATTTTTATTTTTACTATTTTTATCCTTTAAAAAGGAAAATAAGAAAAAGAGACTTGTTTATGATAAAATGAAAATTTAAATAAAAAAATTTATCTTTCTTAAAATATTAAAAAATAATTATTATTTTAAAATAAATTTTAAATAAAAACACATCTACTATTCTTGGTTGTTAGGAGCAAAGAAACTTGATAGTAAATATCAAAAGATTAGGGGGAGTTTTATGAAAAACAAAAAAGAATAGGCCCCGCACATGCAAAAGTTGTCGTGGTTAATCAACCCACAAACGCAGGGCCATTTTCTCACTCCACAAAGCCGGCGGCGTCTCCAAAACCGCACCCTCTGAAAACCCTAGTTTTCCTCACTTAACCTGCTCGAATCAAAATCAGTTCGTGCGCGGTTTCGTTATCGAAGATCAATTAACATTCTCCAGCTTCGAATCCGTGGAAGTTCTGATTGCTTAAACGAGTGAGTTTCCTATTTCTCTATCTCTTTGTCTAAGCTTATAGATCTGTTAACTGAATATGTTGTTTCGTGCATGCTTTAAGTTCATCCATACGGATTTCTGTAGTTCTTAGCAATTTGAGGGTTTTGGAATGGAAATTCAATAGTTGGCATTGCCTCTTTTCTTCATATACCTGATTTGCCTCCCTGTTTCATGTTTGTACCTGGATTATATGCTTCAGGTTCTTGAGAAAAAAGGCTCCAGGTTTCTGTTTTTAGGAGATTCCGGTTGGGTTTTTTGGGTTTTTGTTGTTGTTGAGATTGATTGATTGGCTACAATGGTTGATAACAATTCTCCACCTGGGTCTCCCAAGGAAAACCCAGGTCAGAGTTCTGAGTCAAACTTACTGCCAAAGGATGATAGTGCACTTGAGTCCATAGTTCGGAGGTTTCAGGACTCGATTTCAGTAGGCAAGAAGCACAAGTTCTGGGAAACACAGCCTGTTGGTCAATTCAAGGATGTTGGGGATACTAGCTTACCTGAGGGTCCAATTGAGGCACCGACCCCATTGTCTGAAGTCAAACAAGAACCTTACAATCTTCCTAGTGCATATGAATGGACCACTTGTGATATGGATTTGGAAGAGACATGCAATGAGGTTTACAATCTTTTGAAGAACAATTACGTTGAGGATGAGGAGAACATGTTTAGGTTCAACTATTCAAAGGAGTTTCTGGGATGGGCTTTGCGCCCTCCAGGTTACTACAGAAGCTGGCACATTGGTGTACGTGCTAAAACTTCGAAGAAGCTTGTTGCTTTCATCACTGGTGTCCCAGCAAGAATTAGGGTGCGTGATGAGATTGTGAAAATGGCAGAGATCAATTTCTTGTGTGTTCATAAGAAGCTTAGATCTAAGAGACTAGCACCTGTGATGATTAAGGAGGTTACTAGGAGAGTTCACCTGGAAAATATTTGGCAGGCAGCTTACACAGCCGGAGTTGTTCTTCCAACACCAATTACCACTTGCCAGTATTGGCATAGGTCTTTGAACCCAAAGAAACTTATTGATGTTGGGTTTTCAAGACTTGGTCCAAGGATGACAATGAGCCGCACCATAAAACTTTACAAGTTACCTGACTCACCAGGTACACCTGGATTCAGAAAGATGGAGCTTCGTGATATCCCTGCCGTTACTCGGTTGCTTAGAAACTACTTGAGCCAGTTTGCTGTTGCCCCTGATTTTGATGACAATGATGTGGAACACTGGCTTCTTCCTACTGAGAATGTGGTGGATAGTTACTTGGTTGAGAGCCCAGAGACTCATGAGATAACTGATTTCTGCAGCTTTTACACTCTTCCTTCCACTATACTTGGCAACCCAAACTACTCAGTTTTGAAAGCTGCCTACTCTTACTATAATGTATCCACTAAAACACCATTGCTTCAGTTGATGAATGATGCACTCATTGTTGCTAAGCGGAAGGATTTTGATGTTTTCAATGCACTTGATGTCATGCATAATGACACTTTCCTGAAAGAGTTGAAATTTGGACCAGGAGATGGGCAACTTCACTACTATCTCTATAACTATCGGCTGCGACATGCCTTGAGAGCTTCAGAACTTGGTCTTGTACTGTTATAGTTTGATACTGGTTCAGCAACAGTTCCATGTTTGTTTTTGTTTCTGATTAGGTATGAACTGGTTCATACTTATTTCTTCTTTGGATTGGCAGCCAAGGATCAGATTTTGCATTGCATTTGAGGACAACCTTTGTGTGTTTTTCTGAGCTTTAGCAGCCTAGGCAAACTGTTGCCAACACAGACTGTTCCCTGGACCCAAATAATTTTGAGATTTCATATGTGGTTTCTTTTGCAGTTTTCAATAATGTCATTCTCTCCATTGTTTTTCCTTTTTGGCATGGCTGTGCTGCTTATTTACAAGTTCTTGGTGGGTGCTAAGTGCTTGTGTTCCCATTTGACTCCTTTTAGGATAAACAAAGCTATGCAACTCCCAAACAAATGGGAGATGAGTTAAGCATGTTTTAATGTCAGATAGCTGAGGTTGTTGGTAGTGAGTCGTATTTATAACATGCCACTTGATTGATGATCTGGTGTGATAAGAATGGTTGCTTCTTTCATGCTACCTGAGAACAGAGCAAATATTCTCCCCTTTTTTATGCAATGATTGTGTTTTCCGTCCTTTTTTGAGCTTGAACATTACTTCTCCATATTCCCGCGATACATGATAATTGTTTACAGTTCACTGATTATCCCTCCTCCACTTTGTCCACAAGAATGATGAATGTATGCAACGGCACCAATCATGAAACTTAATGAGAATGCGACGGGAGGGAACCTTGAGATCCATGTTGATGTTGAGCCCGTGATGGGGAAGCAATTGAACTAGCCTCGTGGTTAGAATGTTAGCTTCAAACGCTCTTGAAGGAGAGTGACACTTAAGTCACATTTATTCATCAAACTATAAAAATTAAAGTAGAAGTTAAGGATGATTCTCATGAATCATGAATGAACTTTAAGATTAGCTTCTTTCTCTTGGCCTCGAACTCTCTCGCCTCTCTCTAGAAAGAAATTTAGCTTCTTTCTCTTAGCTCTCCCTTTCGTTGCTCAGAAGCCTCTGGCTTCTCGAGTGTTATGGAACCGGCAGCCCAGGATCCTTGGCCCGCGGAGATCTGGCAGTTTTCTTTTTGTTTAGTCCCATGTTTGTTCCCTTTCTTTTTCCTTCTTTAAGGGTCTCTTATCTTGTATGGGAATGAATTTTTTTTTTTTTAAGAAACATGTTATGCGGTACAAACTTGTGCAACCTTCTTTTGTTAATAAAGAAAAAAAGAGCTAGTTTCTCTACATTGGTCATGACTCATGAGAGTTCTCTTTTTATTTTTATTTTTTAGGAGAACATGGGAGAGAACTTTTCGTTGAACATGTTCTAAGAACATATATTATAAAATTATTATAAAAATTAATGTTTTATTTAACATGATTGTATTTTTTTAATTTTTCATTTTAATTTTTTATAAATTTTATAATTATTAGAAATTAAAATAAAAAATAAACAATTTGTTTAACATGAATTTTAACACTAAAATAAAAAATATAAACTTTTTAAATAATACTAAAATTATTTATATTTTTGTATTTCTAATAATTATGATTAGATGTAAAAATATATGAAAATAAAAAAATTTTCTAGTTTAAAATTACAAAATTTCATAAAAACCACAACCTAACGAAAGATAAATTTTCTCGACTGACCCCATGACATGATATAAAGTTGATTTACGATATGAGCCTTGGTTGTAAGATATTTTTCAAACGATTAAACCTCTAATTTGGCCCTTAAATAATATACACACTCTTGAGTTGATTTTTAAATTAACAAAGTTTTTAATTTAGTCTTTAAAGTTTTTAAATTTAAGTTTAGATTAATTTTTTTATTAGAAAATAAATAATATATTCGTTATTTGATGATAAAAAATTATTATTTAACAGTTATATATCATATTAATAATAAGACATACCAATTATTTCTTGGTAAATGCTAATGTGGAGTTAAAATTTTTTTTTTGAACAATTTGTAATTATTTACAGAGTTTATTGAGGGAGGGGGGAAAGGGGTTCTGTGAGACTCGAACGTGCAACACACGGAGGTGAACAATTCTAACCCAGATCCGATGTCACTAGATCGAAGCGGGCCATTCTAAGGTGAAGTTAAATTTTAAAACTTTAAGGATCAAATTATGAATTTTTTTAATTAAGGATCAACTTAAGGATCCTATAATAGTTGAGGGACCAAGTTAACCTTTTCAAAATGATGTCGTTGTGAACTATACGATTTCCGATAGGACTGTGACTTTTGTGCAGCTAATCAGCCAATCAAGTTTCTCCACGTGGCAGATCAGTGGTGGCCGTTGAACATCAGCTCGGCAAATTAAAACGCCAGGCAAGCTCCTACCCCTATCCCCTGGACCTGGAGACACCCCCCCACCCCACCGACGGACAAAAACAGACACACAGAACACGCCGGACTCTCCCTCCTTCCGACCAACAACCCTCTCCCCCTCCCTCCAAAACGCATTTCATCATAAGCTTCCACACAAAGTTGCAGAAACAAAGAATGGCGTGAACGCGGAGCTTCTTCAGAGAAGCCATCAGTAGCCTTTTCTTTTCTGGTTTTTCTTTTTTTTTTTTTTTTTTCTAAGGAAGTTGATAATGGAGTGCATAGGAGCTCGAAATTTCTCGGCAATGGCGGTCTCTACTTTTGCTACGTGGAGGTCTCGGCGGATGACGATGAGGACGAGTCACTTTCTGTCAAATCATCGCTGCTTTTCGTTCAAGGTGAGAGCCAGTAGCGCCGGAAGCGAGAGCTGCGTGGCGGTTAAAGAAGGTTTTGCCGATGAAGAAGATTACATAAAGGCTGGTGGCTCCGAGCTCGTTTTTGTGCAAATGCAACGGAACAAGGCCATGGATAAACAGTCAAAATTAGCGGATAAGGTTGCTTATCTTTTCCTGTTCCCTTTTCTTTTTTTTCTTTTTTTTTTTTAAATTACTCTGTTTTGAAAGACCTCGAGAATATAAAAAAGGGAAGCAGGTCACTTTATCTGGCTTGCCAATTGTTAAATAGCCTCTTTAAAGTGGCCATCTTTGCACGCTTGAAGTCTTGTTAATGGTTCTATTTCTACAACTAAATGGATGGACGGAAAGAATTAATCTAGTTGGAAATTGGAGATGCTCTCTGCTTTCCCTTTTTTTTTTTCTCAATGGGGTTGTCCTTTTCTTAGTTATTTTGTTTATAACATCTTCCAATTTTTAACATCTTGGCAGTTGACACCAATATCAGTTGGAGATAACATACTGGATTTGGTTGTGATTGGTTGTGGTCCAGCCGGTCTTGCTCTCGCTGCTGAGTCAGCTAAGTTGGGATTAAATGTTGGACTAATTGGCCCTGATCTTCCTTTCACAAATAATTATGGAGTGTGGGAAGATGAATTTAAAGGTAACACTTTATTTTATCATTGGTGATTATTCATTATTCTTGCAAATTGCAATGTATTCTTGTAACAATCATTAATCATTAAGCAGCTTCTTTGATGTTATCCTTGCTAAAATTAGAAACATCTGCTCTTCACCTCATCAGACTTTTAAAACTAGTGATGATGACATATGCATCAGACCTTTATAAACCCCATTTGCTCAAACCAATGCATTGACTTAACACCATTCACATTTTCAGATCTTGGACTTGCTGGATGCATTGAACATGTTTGGCGGGATACCATTGTATATCTTGATAATAAGGATCCTATTGTAATTGGTCGTGCATATGGACGAGTTAGTAGGCACTTGCTCCATGAAGAGTTGTTAAGGAGGTAGTCAAAATTCCTTATGAATAGAATGTTTATTGCCATTTATCCTGCTAATTGTATTATTGGATATAGTATCACCAACATGTGATTCATATTAATGTCCATAGGTGTGGAGAGGCAGGTGTTACATATCTAAACTCAAAGGTGGAAAGGATTAGCGAAGCTACCAATGGTCAGAGTCTTGTAGCTTGTGAACACAATATTGTTGTTCCCTGCAGGTAGAGATAGTCTTTCTCTTATTCCATTAGAATTTTCTCTTTTTGCCACAACTTGTTTCAAGTTTCTTATGAATCATTGTAGGCTCGCTACTGTTGCTTCAGGAGCAGCTTCAGGGAGACTGTTGCAATATGAGGTGGGAGGTCCTAGGGTCTCTGTCCAGACAGCTTATGGCATTGAAGTTGAGGTAAGATCGTAAAGTATGCTAAGATTACTATAGAACCTCAATATTGACTAGGGTCTCTGTGCTTATGCCTTCTTGATTTTATACCTGGAAATTTGAATCAGTATCGTCTGCTTGAGTTAATATCTTAGTATGCAGTGAAGCACCAACTTGTCTAATTTACTTATGGGGAAGAAAAAAAAGAAAGAGAAAGAGGATGAGTAAGTGATCTAAGATATCCTTGTTCTCTAGGTGTAACTTTAAGTTGTGCAATTGCAGAAAATGTTTATTCTCGAGTCACTATAAGGTCTTTGTTCCTAAAATTTAACTTTGAGGAAACAGCATGAGAAAGGTATTCTATATGTGTTTGAAGAATCTTGTTAACTCTCCTAGTTTCATCTTGATAATGCCAGGTGGAGAATAATCCTTACGATCCTAGCTTGATGGTTTTCATGGATTATAGAGACTACGCCAAACAAGAAGTTCCACATTTGGAAGCTCAGTATCCAACATTTCTTTATGCAATGCCCATGTCTTCAACAAGAGTTTTCTTTGAGGTTTTCCTGATGCAACTAATTTTCTTTTGTATTATGCAAATTTATTTCTTATGAGTTATAATTCTTCGCAACTAATGTGAAAATTCTACTTTTCAGGAAACTTGTTTGGCTTCAAAAGAAGCAATGCCTTTTGACTTATTAAAGAAGAAGCTTATGTCGAGATTAGAGACCATGGGAATCCAGATTTTAAAAACTTATGAAGAGGTAATCTTTGCAATCAAATTATGTTCTAAACGTGTCAGGAGTTGCTAAAGGATGGTATAGTTTTAATCTCTAACAAAAGCCATTGAGTTAATTATTTAAAGTCCTATGCCATCCCTGTTTTTCTTGTGTTCTTATTTGTCAATGCTAACGTATTCTAGAAGGGCTCTTGTCCTGAGCCACCTTTTTGCTGTGATTTAAATTTTACCCATATGATTACTTAAAATTAAATTGCTATACATTAGCTCAAATTCAGAGTTTCAAGGTACTGATGCCATGGAAGTACATAATAAGAGTTGAGTTGTTTCTTCCTCATAGTAGCAGTTGGTTGAGAAGGACCACAAAGTTTACTAGTTCTAATCCCTGCCAACATACTTTAATTGCCTATCTATGTCTTTCCCTGATCCATTCATAATTTTATCATCTCATTACATCCTACCATCCAACTGCCACAGTAAACTTCATTTTTGTGGTTTCTGATATAGTTAACATTGAATTGCATTTCCTGTTTACAGCCTCACGGGACATGGCTATTATACCAATCATGTTTTTGCTATTAATTCCAAGTTTCTTAGCAAGATAATGTTTCCTTGCTATTAAATGTGAGAATAACCTTTCAATATTTTGTGCAGGAATGGTCTTATATTCCTGTTGGGGGTTCCTTACCAAACACAGAACAGAAAAATCTTGCGTTTGGTGCTGCTGCAAGCATGGTGCATCCAGCTACAGGTATTAAAATTTAGTGTAATTAATCATGAACTTGCCTCTGTGTTTTGGACTTAAGAGGTGCTTATTTATCAAAGTCTTCTTAAATAGGTTATTCAGTTGTCAGATCATTGTCAGAGGCTCCAAAGTATGCTTCTGTACTCGCAGATATACTGCAGAAAGATCATTCAAAAGGCATACATACTAGTAAAAGAACTGTTGAGAATATATCAATGCAAGGTACATCATGGGTTTTCCCTTTTTTCATAAAAAAAATGTCACACCTCTCTTTTGCCACTGTCAAAAAATAGATGTACACTAGCAGACTTCTTGGGATTAAAAGTTAGCTGAGATGAGATGAATGTAATACACACTACTTATTTTATTCTTCTCTTTGGATTTTAGCTATATATGGAAATCCTTTTATAGCCTTAATTATGAAAGAATTTTTCTGTTTTGCTTCTGCAAAAAACAACAAACATGGATAGCTAACTATTATGATAATCTTCCTAATATCCACCTTTTCTCTTTGCCATCACATATCATCTGTCAAGCTCTCTGGACAATCTTATGGATGTCTCATTGGCACTCAGGAAAAAATTGGATGAGAATGATAAGAAGCTATAGTATGCAGTTTTGTTTCTACTTACTTTTGTTTAATTAATTTGATTCAGCTTGGAATACTCTTTGGCCACAAGAAAGGAAGCGGCAGAGGGCCTTCTTTCTCTTTGGCCTGGCGCTCATTTTGCAATTGGATATTGAAGGGATTAGGACTTTCTTCCACACTTTCTTCCGTTTGCCCACTTGGTAAGATATAATTATTCAGCTCTACCCTTCACATCTAGTCATCCAAGAATTGTCACAGTAGGGTTCCTAAATAAAGAAAATATTTTACTTCCTTGCATTCCTCTGGGGTTTAGCAAATCAAATCTTAACCTGTCAGACTTGACACGTTCAAAAATACATTTATGGTAGAAAAGAAACATATTCTTGAGTCTTGATCTAATAATAGAAGGGGAAGGCGTGTCAAAAAGAAATCAAAGAAAAAAGACATTTCAATGAACATGATAACCAAGTAAAATTATCAGGACCAGCTAGATTTTAGAAATAAATTCTTGACATGGTCTGAGTTGGAGCTAAACATGAAGTAATTTCTTGAAATAATTTTTGCCTTGTTGGATTTGCTTCACTGCAGGATGTGGCAAGGATTTCTTGGTTCTAGTCTTTCATCCGCAGATCTCATTCTCTTTGCCTTCTATATGTTTGTTATAGCCCCAAATGATATGAGAATGTGCCTTGTCAGACATCTACTTTCAGATCCAACTGGCGCAACTATGATAAGAACATATCTCACCGCATAGGCGGTTAGCTTCTCTATTTCTACCTGTTTCTTGGTTCTTCTTTGAATTTCCATTCAAGAAATATGAGGAGCTAGCCTGCTTTCCAAATTTGCCAAGGTAGAGTTCTATACATGTGCAATTTTCAAGTTTATATTCTCCCTTCGTTTAAATAACGGCATAAGCATTAAATAAGGACACTAACTTTTTCTCATTATGCAAAATGGTGCTGGCAAATGAAGACATTATATAGATGATGCTGGCAAATAAGCTCGAATTTGACATAATTGTGCCCAAGACTACGTTAATAAAGCCATCCTACTAGACCTGACAGAAAAGTGAATCCAAAAGAAATTTGACAAAAGGCTCATTCTTTTGTTACTGGATTTTTACTAGAATCACTCTTGGATACATGTTGGAATATTCCTGTGTCAATTGGGTCATCTACCCCAACCTCCTTGTCGGTATGGTCTTTCTGAGGCCTAATGATTGCGTGAGAACAATTTAGTCAAATCTTCCTTAATTACTTGCTAACTAGATAGTTCTTATTTGCCACTAATAGAAGATGATACCATCAATTCCAGTGTTCCTTATTTGAAGTTTTTGCCCTAAATAAACTCCTAACATTTTGATGTGCTCATTTCTTCTGGTAGTTGAGGTAGGTTATTTTCAGCCATATGACTGTTGGGTTATTTGTACAGACAATTTTCTGTAGCCGGTGGATCCAGGAAGAAATCAGAACAAAGAATCTTTTTGAAGGATGGTTAGTCTCACCTAGTCCATAATATTCTGAAATGAACTGTATCCTGCAAGGAGACATTCCCTATTAAATCTTGGTAAAATAAACAAGATTTGAAGATTATACTGTAGTTTCCTTGCGTCTTCTGTGCCCTAGAATAGTGCTTTGTATAGAATGAGAATGTAGATCAATTCCAATCTGGAATTCAATATACTTATATCATGACCTTAAAGAGTTGTTTCAAATCCACTCGGTATGAATGGATATTGATTCTTGGCTTTTTAGTCTGCAAACCCCAATCATCCCTCAAGCTTTCTAGATGCTTTTCTCAGCATTTGGATTAACTTAATGTAGTGCGTTTACCTTTGTTAGGCATCCTATGATTCATATCCATGTAAAATATATACAACAATTAGAAGATGAAAGAACACAATCCTCCAACATTTGTTTTGAATGATTTTTAAGGTTTTTACATTCAGATAATGAGCATCAAATCTAAAATCAGTTATTAAAATAGGTAGTAGCACAAATTGGTTATGTATGTACAAGGTAAAGTTAGATCGAGTATTTTCACTTTCTATAAATTGAATTATAGAGAAGTAAAAATTAATACGTCTTAACATTAAAAATGTTAAGATGTTTAATCCTAATGATGATAGATAGAATTCACGTGGGATCAACATTATATCCCATTCATCAAGTGAATTTGATTGAATGTCTTAATATTTTTAAGGCTAAGAATTCTAATATTCTGCATTCTTACTGCTGACTCAAGGTTTCGTTCTGGAGGTTTATTTTTTGTATTTCAATTTACCATCCCAAAATATACAAATTTTTACTTAATTTGTTAAAATTTTTTAAAAAATAATTAAAAATAATAATTTTATTTTTTAAAAATAAAATATTGTGTAAAAAAAGATACGTGAAGTATTAGCAAACGAAACTTAAGCCAATAAGGCTTCCAACTCGTGCTAGGATGTTGATGAACCACCACAAGTTAAGGAATATGGTTCAATAATGGCTGTCATTGTTATGAAAATATATAATGTAGAGAGAGTATTGATTTTCATCTCTCCTGCATGGGATCAACCAATGTTAGATCGACAAATTGACAAAACAAAATAACCTCACTATGGTATATATTTTGAGTAAAAGTGGCATAAAGGTATGTGTATATGCTTTGTGTTAATTAAGAGAAAAATTGCATACCGTCCTACAGAACCACAAAGCAAGGGTGATTTATCGCTACTTTTACACATTCCCTGCAATTGAAAAATCATGTTGATTATTCAGTGTATTCTTTGCTTGTTTCATAAGAGAACCTCGGCATATATATATATATATGTGTGTGATGGACAATGATTTTGTTTCATTATAGGAACAAATAAGCGAAAGAGATCTTACAAGGAATATATGTAATGCCATTTAAAGTTGAAGTATGATGTCAAATCTGGTTTGGTTTTAGGAAACATATCTCCTAATTACAATGGGAGTTTGACATTTGAAGCATATATACATGATCAATTTGTGGGACATTATTTATAGAACTTGCATGTACTATGCCAATGTCTTATAATTAATTAAAATGAAAAATGATTAGAAAATAATTTTTGTATACAATTTTTTCATACAAAATCGTATATTTTTATAATTGATTTTTTTTATTCTATTATGAATCTGTGATGTTATATACATATATTCATTTAATAATATATTATAAAAGTTGTAAAAATAAACTGTAGGAGTAAGTTGTCCACATATCATTATTCAAATTCTCTTATGCAACTTTTGCAATTATGATAGGTTTACACAGAGAAAAAAGGAAAGGAATGGAAAAAAAGGCAAGTCAAAAGATATATATGGGGAGAGTGGCCAATGAGTAGTGTAGGAAGTATTAAACCACACATATATATTCCTATTATCTCATATGTGATGCCTTGCAAGCATCATCTTTGGTCCTTTCTCTTCTATAAAATCCTAAAGAAATCTGTCATTTCTCAACGCAGCAGCTACCAATCCAAACAAAGCTTAATGTATCGAGTGAAGGTTTGGTTTGGCAAGAGGCCTATAATTTCACAGCTGCTTTGGTCGCCGGTGAAGGTTTGGTTTCATCTAACGCAGGTTTGGGTGAGGAAGATGACAGAAGAGAGTGAGCACTCATTGCATGAAAAAATGTAAAATGCTCAAAGCGATGCGTGCTCACTCTCATTTGTCACCCACCTCTCTCTTTCTTTTTCTGTTGTTTGCTCTGCATCCATTGCCCACCCCTCTTCATTAGTAATTAGTTGTAGGTTTTTTTTTTTTTTTTTCAGTACCAATTGATATACATAACAAATAATAACCTTTTATCTATAAAAATTTATTTCATTTCACTTAAAATTTGAACTTAAAATTTACAATTTGAAACCTCAAGTTTGAACCCTATTGGATCAAGTATATATAATTTATTAGCTTATATATAAAGTTAAGTTAACTGAGTATATGGTCTTTTTTTACTCATGTGTGATCATGGTCTATCAAAAACAACATATTAGTTATTGTTTTGTAAAATATTTAGAGTAAAATCACACCTTGAAAAGGTGAAAGGGGATGTAGGAGTACTGATATTAAGATGTTTCTAAAGTATTAAGTAGCTAATTTTTTTAATGAATATTAAGATGCTAATATTTGGGGATTTTAGGCTCTTATTAGTATGGTTTTAGTTTTTTATTTTTGTTTTAAATTTCATAAATTTTACAATTTAAAAAAAATATTTATTTTCATGTATTTTTATAATATATTATTATGGTAATTAGATAAATAAGAATAAAAATAATGTTAATATTATTAAATAAATTTATATTTTTTATTGTCAAGGTTAAAATTTTTCATAAATAAATTATCAATTTTTTATTTTAGTTTTGGTTATTGAGAGTTGTAGAATTTATGAAAAAAAAAACACACACACACAACCACAGCAAATAAAGTCCTAATTTGGTTATTTTTAAGTTTAACATACAAAATCTCCTTGAACTTATAATTATGTCTCATTTTAGCCTAGAAACCTTGTCCTTAAAGTTAGTTTTCTAGCTTCTTTTTTTTTTTTTTGGTTTTTTTATTAATGATAAATGAAAGGCTAGCATGTAAGTATTATTAGTAAAAATAATCTCAGCAATTCTTGTCGAAAAATTTTGCCAAACTTTGCCATGATCTTTGATGAAATTAAAAAATCAATAAATATCCAAAAAAAAATCATCATAGTCCCTCTAAATTAAAAGAATTGAAAACATGGGAGTGGAGGTCTTTTCTCCCCCTCTGTCTATTAAAAATGATAATCCAAACTAGAGAAGGCATCTCTCACTCTCCTTCATTTTCTCTCCAAACTCACCAACTCATATACACTGTAATACAGATGGACTGGTGGAGGAATTATAAGCACTTTTACTAAAATAGATAAATACATGTATTTATAGATTAACAACAGCTTTATTAAATTAGTATTTAAAAATTTAAAAACACCAATTTAATATCAAAATCAGGGGACGTTGTTTTTTTTTTTTTTTTTTCTTTTGGTACAACGGGAATTGGGGGATAGGGGAGAGGAAACAAGATGAAGGAGATTTGAATTACATACGAGTGGATAAAACACTTATTTAATAATCACACGAATCACACGAATCACACATTAAGATTTAAAATTAAGAGATTTAAAATTTTTACAATATCAACCATCTAATTTTACATATTTATAGAATCATGACTTGTAAAATGATCAGATATTCCACAGTTTCTTCCACTTGTCAATCAGTTTCACATGTTGAGTTATAAGCATTGTTGTCAAAATCT